AAAAGGAATTGACAATTCTCATAATTTTGTGCGTAAGAAAAGAGGAGAACGTATAATAGTATAATATATACCGCGGGACTGAAGTAGTACTTTTAATCCCGAAGGTAAAGTTTATTTTAATTAATTTACCTGAGGGATTAAGACCACTACTTCAGTCGCAAGGTATATACGATATTTTTCGTACTTCCGAAATTGAAACACTTAATATGTATGGAGTTAGAGAACGCGTTCTTTCAAAAAATCGCTGCTTAAGAGTCTTCTGTACCCACTGCACCCAATGTAAATTTCCATAAGAGCGCCCGCCATAAAAACTCTATTTGTTTTTACAAAAACAATTTTTTTTAAGAACTATTTTATAAATTTAGACCTTTATCTACAAAATGTTCGGACTATTTTTTTTTAAAAGTTTATAGCAACTGAATACAGATTGTTTAAAAATTAGATGTTTCGCACCGATTATTGCGCTAATCTGTTTTATTTTTTTACTCTCGATCAAGACGATTTATGGAAAAAGTAAACCGACAGTTTTTTAGATAAGTTACTTCTAAATATGACCCCAAAAAATGAAATCATAATTTTTGTAAATAAAGTCTGTATCTTGGCGGGCGTTAAATCAACAATTTGAGTGTAACAAGTGGCGCCGCTGCACAGTCTCGGTGGGAACTAACTAAGGACCAAGACAGGAGTTGACAAAGCAAGAATATCATCTTATCTCTTGCAGCTATAATCATCTATACACTATAATGTAAAAAAGTTGCGCTTAGGTAAAGAAGACTCTTAACAAGTTACCATAGGAACGTTGCGTCGGTACGACAATCCCTATGCTATGGTAACAAAAATAATTTGGAAACTGTCATTGCTAGTGTCATAATTTTGGTGGTGGGTGACAAAGGTGTATTTGAAATTGATAAAAAGCAGCCAAACTAGGTAATGGATTGATACCACCGAAATCCAAAAAACTATATGTGAGCAGCAGTACGATGCGTTTAAGAAGTAGTGCCGCATACAAAATGTGAAACAACCTACTGAAATTGCCTTGTTCATCCTTCCGAGATTTTCGTCCAAATTTAATCCCGGCGGGACAAAAAGTGACACTTCAGTACTTGGCATAATGGAGTGAAGTTGTCACTTTAGTCTCGGAAGTACGAAAAATATATTATGCACACAACCAGGCGAGGTCAGGGAAACCTTCTTTGGGACAAAAACCTTGGCATTGCTCACACAAACACACAAATTAAAGTAACAAAACTGGTTCGCCGATCTTACTATTTTCGTCGCGGTAAAAATCGAACCACAGCCTTTTTACCGAAGACGCGTTACTTTCCGAATCATGAATTTTAAAACATCGCAGGCGCTATTCACCAGCCATTTTGTTTGACTTCAAATTATTTTTTATTGGTGGCGCTACATATACTTGCTCAAACTTTACTTCTCTGTGCCAATCTAAAATCATTTTGTTGGTATGCTCTACAGTGCGTTTCCACATATCAGATGCACCTAACTGCATGAATGGCTTGTTGCCACATATCTAAACAATTTTCTCTGCTGTAATAGTCTAATGTCCAGTGCGCGCACACACATACACAGTATCCTAACACTACTTATACAGCCGCTCTTTGGCTCAAGTTGTAGTCACAGAACATGGGGAATCATTATTTTACGAAAAACACACATCATTTTGTTAAAAAGGCATCCGTCACATAATTATAAAACATACTGTGTAGCTACTTGGACAAGGGTTCTACCATAGAAGTTCTGGATGGGGTACCTGGACCCCAAAAATGCGATAAGGGTTTTTTGTCCTGATTTTAATGCTATCGAGTTGAAATTTGGTTGGTATTGAACCTATTGTTTTTTTGTGAAAATTCAGACATTTTTCTGGGTTTTAGCGATTTTCAGCACGTTTTATCTTGGTAGGTGCTTGTCATCTCGCATCCAGCCACGCTAAAGGTAACCAGAAGTGGAACACTTGCTCTGCGGGTTCAACTTGTTTCATTATCAACAATAATACAGATTTTAGTGAGAACTTCCCAATTAATGGTCGCCTAATATCTTCTGAAGAGGTGCTTGCATTATGTCGTGTGATACACTGTTCTTGTGATATTCACATTTGAAGTTTTGATTCCACCAACAACCTTCTACTTTCCCCTTGAGCGTATTTTCTTCCGAGCACCACATTCTTGGAAGAACTACGACTAGTATCACTTATGGCTTATGGGGGACTAGAATTGACGGAAAATCATTTTGAGACCTTTCATTACATTCCAATGAATGATCAAGTCATTTTCTCATCTTCTCCCTAAATTCTACAATACCAATCAACAGGTGACCCAAGTATCAATTTTGACTAATTTAAGCCATTTATAGATTCTAAACCAATAATAAATACCATTTACTTATTGAAATCATTTGTTGACGAAATCATTTCAAGAATTTTAAATGTGTCCAGTTGTGATTACCCAGTGTTGCTTATTTAGATTGGCCTCCTCTAAGATTCAAGTTTGAAATACTGAGTGTACCAAAATGAAACACCAAGTTTTGAATTACTGATGCCCGTTTCACAAACGACTGATGATGAGTCCTGATGAGACAGAGCCATTGTTTAAATTTACCTTTTCACACGTCGTGCATACCATCAGTCGACCGATCAAATACGCACTGGCATCAGTCGAGCCTTTGCATGTGCGGATGTTCAAGACACGCACTGGCCATTGAATTAGCGAGCATTTCACATGTATGCGTTCCATCAGTATGGAATACCAGCGTTGCAACGTTTGACAATTGCTTTAATTGTCATTTAAAAAATGATGGCACAAGACATGTATATATAGGTTCGATACCAAACAATTAATTAGTACGGTAGAAGAGAGGAGAATAATTTGGGATATGGAATTAGATTATATAAAAAAATCGGGAACTAAACAGTAATGCTTGGAGCGGCAAAGCACAAACCGACAACAATGTGTTGCTTTGTGCTCTGCATGTACATTTTTTCGACTGATCAAACGCATGCATGTGAAAGCAAGATACTTCGACTGATGATCAGTCGGACTGACCATCAGGATTGATAATCAGTCGTTTGTTACTGAGGAAATAAGGGATCGAAATACTAACAGTTTATTCACATAACAGAAATAGTTATTTACTACTGCCAAGGAAATATTGAAGTATGAGGCCCCTTTGTCAGAGTTTTGTATTAAATTCTTCCACTTTAGTTATTTACTACTGCCAAGGAAATATTGAAGTATGAGGCCCCTTTGTCAGAGTTTTGTATTAAATTCTTCCACTTTACTGTTGTCCTTGTTTTTCTTATTCGTCTGCCACAATTTGGCTGCTCGAGCCCGTGCATTTCTTTTCCGATTTTTATAAGGATTTCTACTCATGTTTAAAAAGCACTATACAAAAACTCAACAATTTACACGTAAATACGACCTTGATGCACTGAATGATATCAAAAAACTTCTGGAAATTACCAACGCCAACGATAAACGCAGTTAAAGTTACCACATCTACTAACTTTAAACGCACTAAAGTTTAGGCGCCCTCTATGGGGAAGGCTTAGGTGTTACCATTATAATGACAATCAAATCTGTTGACTGAAATTTCATAAAAATATCGACTTTTAGCGAATTTAGAGGGATAATAAATAAATACCTAAATAAATAAAAATAAAAACTTGTTTTAAATGCCCCTCTTAAAGTACAAATTTTCTTGTATAAAAATTCTGTTTTTTATACTTTTTAGTACACATGCATATATGTGTACAATATGTTCATATGTAAGAAATAAAATTACTTTGGATTATCCTTGTTCTTCAATTTTCCGTCCTTCGCTCGGTGTACGTATAATTGGGGTTCTACGTTCTACTGTATATTAAATTTTTTACAATAAGATGCAGAATACGAAACGTGAACCAAAAAGGGTCATGCTATTTAAAGTATCAAAGTTAGGGTTGATTTCTGGTCTAAAAGGAAGCATCCTGGAAATATTTTAGTTTGATCGGAAAATGTTCTTATATGTGTACAGGGTGGTTTCGAATTCGTGGCTCACCATTGCGATCTCGTTAACGGTGAGAGATACAGTGTAGGTTAAATAGGCAAAGGTGCCCTTTTTGTAACTAAAAAAACGCGTTTGGCATGTATGAAAAACGGTCAGATCGGAGAATCTGAACCTGTTATCAGAAGTTTCATAGCATGTTCGATGTAGAAGTTACAGGCTACTTCTTTCTTATTTCTTATGGGATATTGGATTTTTACGGAATGAGATAAAGGTTAAAAGAAGAAACATACTGATGTGTCACACTCTCTACTCTTTGGCACAAATTTACAAGAAAATTTCAAAATCAGGAGTGTTACATTTATTTCTCAACAAAACATCCATGGATTTCTAGATCTTGTTGAATCAACATGGCCATGATGGCGATGCATTCGAATGATTTTCTTTTTTTGTCCTCTATCTCATTCCGTAAAAATCCAGTGTGTCGTTACTGTTTTTTTCCCAAATGAACCAACCACTGGAAGCACTTCATCTGCATTTCTTTCTGGAAATTTGCAATTTTTAGATATTCATGTCATCCAGACATTCCATTGTCCCTTTGTAGGTACCTTCTTTCGACACTATTGTTGAGATACTAGCACTTAAGTTTTGATTCGTTCAACAGATCTGTCCGTGTCTGTCTGTCTGTCCCTTTGTCAGTACTTCAACAGAAGGGATCGAAGAGTAGTTTAATTTTTTCATTAGACTATTAAGTCTGATAGAATCAGTTTTTAACTCCTCTCCTCCCCCACAATTTCAATATCATTGACAGGATCGGAATCCAAAATAGAGAAGTAAATGACTTGGTACCCTTAGACCAATTTTATTGACTGTTGTACATGAAAGTTCTTATGTTTGACTTACCAAAACAGCATCTCAGTTTATCACTACACATCATGTAGTTTGTATATGCTTTGGTGTGCTTATATTGTAATTTTGCTATAATCTTTCCTTTTGTGAATTAGGGCGGAAGTTTGAGTGTCCATCCGGAAGACATTAACGTTGGCAGCGGACACAGCTTAAAAGATCAGTCAGAAATGGACAGTACACCTCCTATGACTCTTCAACAGCAGGACATGGCCGATACGATAGATGGTAAGTTAAGAAATATTTAGTCATTACTTTAACTTGCTTGCATGTTTCCTTTTTCTTCAAACACCTTGTACTTTCATAACAATTTAGAAAGGCAGAAGTTTGTGTGATGACATTTATAATTTTTTAACAATATTTTGGTCGGCTAATTTTGCTTCCCAAATGATAGGCTTTCTAAAACTGTAACGGAGCAGAGCAGTACAATATCTCTTCTTTATATTGTTTTCTTTATTTAAAAACTGCTTCTTAATGAAATTGACTGTCCAACTGAATCTTAGGAATAGAATATTCATTTTGAGTAATTAAATAAAATGTGTCTTCCAAATTTCACACAATGCTAAGTCCAGAGAACTAAATTTATTAACTGATTTTTTTGTGTAACAGGCTTCTACCTCACTAAGCGGTGTTGTTTGTAATGTTTTTGTAGTGTTGTTAATGTGTAGATTCTGAGCATGCATGAGTTTGAGAACACCTGTAAATAATAATGTGAACCTTTCTGGAGGTGTGGTTTAGCACACTGAAAATATGCTGTCTTTTAGGCTCGTTTATTTGAAGCGTTATAAATATATTAATATCAAGAAATAAATATTTTCAGACTGTTTCGCGATAGTGTAAAGTGAGAGTGTTTTGTGTCAGTTACATGCATTCAACAAGTGAGTATATGCAATAACTTTTTAAGGCTTATTTAATCTAAATAATGGGTTAAATAAACATAGTTTAAAAGTCAGCTGTTTGCAATTCAGCTTTAATCATAATTTCAATTTTTAGCTAGTAATAATGGAGGAAGAGAGCTGATGGTTATTGTTACTACTGAAGAACATGAAAAAATTGCAGTTGACCTAAAGGAATTGATGAATGCGAATTACAACTTGAATACTCTTCTTGAAAATAGAGGAGGCTCGGGAAGTTTTGGAAGTAGTTCAATTGAAATTATAGATTTAGATAGTACGATTTCAAGTTCGATTGAGAAGGATGCGCCGAGTATCTCAGAAATATCTACTGCAAGCACAGAAAATGTTTTGCAAGATTTAAATTATGCAGATACCACGAACAAAAGTGTAGTAAGTGAAAAAGAAAGTAATTCTACAAATGTGCAAGAGACTACTCCAAATCTCCAAGGGTTAATTCGTGTGCGCAAGGATGTTTTAATAAACCCATCAGAACCGATGGAAATCACTAATGACGATGTTATGGTAGATGATTCTGTTACTTGGACTGATGCTGATGACTATGAAGTAGATGTGGAAGGTGACTTTACATGTATAATTAATAATGAACCTATAACAAATGAAGATAATGAAAAACTTTCTTCAAAAAATAAGGAAAACAAAGCCAAAACCAAATCCAGTAAAAAATTCACAAATAGATTTCTGCCCCCGCTAACTAACTTTCATGTAGCTACTGACAACGTGCGAACATATGGAAGAGGTAAAAGTAGAGAGATGATTGGTAATACACACTGTACAGACGCATTGCTCATGAAACAAAGAATTCTTCGATCTAGTGCTATTGCTTCTAAAGCTGGTAACGTGGGTACATCTAAACAAAGCCACCCCGTTTTACCGACTGTTAATCCGACCTCTAGGAGTCCCTGTTTTTCGAAAAAATCATTTGACGATTGGGAAAGAGCTATGGCTCCAATAATATATAAAAAGGAGCCCGAAGAGGTGGATAGTGATTCCTCCTTACCTAACCTCACAGTGGAAGAAAGTGCCCCACCCTTAAGAACACCGTCACCACCATTACTTCATAGGCAAACGAATTTTGTCAAAAACGTTACAGTACCCAAGCGTGGACGTGGTCGACCAAAAAAATTATTAGCACCTGTGTTGGATGTGGGAGTACCATACTTAGATAGTGTACAAAAAAAGGTGCCGTTATTAAATCAAATACTAACCAGTACCCCCACACATAAACGTAAACGTGGCAGATCACAAAAACTCGCAGAGGATGATTTCAGCATACCGCATTTGCGTCCTGTGAGACATTCACAAATACGTGTTACTAGACAGGCCCCGCCTGTGTTAAGACCAAAAGTTCACATTCCAAATTACTTCGAAGATAAGCAAGAAGAAAAACGAAATGCTATGAATATTAATAAACAAGGTCGAAAAAAAAATCCAACGTCGCCCTTAGCCACAAAGACTTATTCAAACAGGTCGCAGCCCCTCTCCTCAATCACTTCAAGAAGCGCGGAACATTCTTACTCTAGTTCCGATGTTCCCCAAAATTCCAGTTTACGTATTCCACCTTCACATTTATATGATTTCAATGCCCGCCAGTGCAAGTCCGAACTTTTAGATGACTATGATGAGACTGTATAAAATATCGAGTAAAATTGTTTACCTTATTTGCGAAGTTTGGAGTTTTCGCAAAAACAGAAAATTGAAAGTGTAAGTATATTAAAAAGAAAACTGGTGGTGGAGAGGACCTAAACAAGTAGATTTTTCAAAATGTTTGGAAATGCTTTGTCACAGAGTTACAGGGTTATGTAACGTTTTTAATTGGGTGTTTACTCTTTATAATTATGAAAAAATGGAAGAAGGGGTGGGGTGAAATTTTCTATTACTGTTATTGAGAAGTGAGTGTTTGAACATGACAACTCAAATGAGCGTTTGAAAATTGGGAAAGGTTCGACTGCATACTAGCCCTGTGCCCTAAACTCGTACATTGTAGGCCTACAAGATTAGTCGAGTGTTAATTTTATTTGAATTTTCAAAAGAATTTTACTATTCTGGTGTCTACTGAAATGACAGAAACTCTTTACACATTGATGGCAAAAGTCAAACGATTTTATGTTTGAATCAACATAATCTTGGGATATCAAAACACCTAATCAGAAACGTTCCACTTATCTACTTATATGTACTATGGTTGTTGAGAAAAAATCAAATGCACAGAGGCGAAACATTTATATTTGGACAAATGCTTGTTTTGGTCCCTTATACCACCTATTCTTTTTGCATTTCTATTTTGTGGAGTCTCACAGGATGGAATAATAACTGGATTTTACATCCCAAAACAAACAGAAAAACATCTCACCATATCGACCAAATTTTGAAAATTTCATTCAACTTCACTGAACACTGTTATTGTCTATTTGTATTAGGCAAAACTGAGTTCGGTTGCAAAATTTGGTACCTAGGATTGTTCGTATCACAAAACGTTGATCAAGTTCATCATCTTAGAAAGTATTTTTCCTGTACAAAGCTTAATTTTCACAAATCTTGTGATCTATGGTAATTAATTTTTAATCTATACATAGTTATATTTCCATAGTTAATAATTGTAAATAAATATTTGTACTGATTTCTTTTTAAGTTGCTATATGTAGTTTTTTTGTAACTATGGTAAAATGCTTCTCAAATTAATGAGAAAATATAAGATTTCTATGGGTTAGTGTTATTTGTTCTAGCTTTTAATGTTGTATTGGTAAAAGTGGTACATTGTCTTGAATTTCGAGTTAAGAATTTTTAGTATTTGGTTGATGGTGACGGTTGGTTTTCTCTGTTCCAGCTGGATCGTTGGAACAGAGACAACCTTGTTATCCACAACCAAGTGCGCAAAGTGTTTTCCATCAAATACAAGAACCACGTGCAGCTCCATTAGATTACTGTGATATGTTTAATAAAGTGTCAGACGTACCATTGTTGTACCTGTGTCAAATTTGTGGTAAGCAAGTTAGTAATCGTTGGCACCATGCGTCTATTCATCGTCCACAGACTAACAGATGTCCTATGTGTTATCAAACGTTTACTAGGAAAGACAATATGAAGGCACACATTAAAATTAAACATAGTAATCTCTATAGTGAGACAGGAAGTGATTGCAGGTCTAATAGAGCTGTGACCTACTTGTAATGTTCATCATGTGAGAAATCACAAATGTAAATATTAAATGACCTAAATTGACTGTTACAAATAAGTTTTTTTTAATGTCGTATTAATTCAGTATGATGTATACAAATTTGGTTCCTTTAAAATTAACGAGTGTTATCGTAATTCACTAGTAGAAACAATTGTCATTTAATTAATATGAATATTATGTACAGTCGCTAAATAAGTTATTAATATAGTTTTTGAATCGCAGTTTTCACCATACAGCATGTATATAAGCATTGTTAACATTACCAAAACACAGCATTCTTTACTTATTAAAGAGATACTTACACGTTTTGCTTACCAGTACCAGTTTAGTGTCTGTATATATTTTTTATAGATCATTTGCATCGACAATTGGATTTACTTGTTGTAGTTATTGATTATCTTTTAACTCACTGTATTATAAAATTTCCTATGGAAATTGTAGTGTTCTGTACATTGTTTGCAAATTTGAAATATATTTATCGATAAACAATTGGCTTTCTATTTAACATATATTTGGATGTTCCAAACTATTTAATTCAATTATATCACATTTATTAACGTGTACCTGTACGTGTACGTTCAGATTATTGTCAACTTCAAAGACCGGACATTTTTTTGTTAGGTTAATATAGCGGAATTCATAGAAACATCACTTTTAGATTCCAGATTGCAGTTACGCCCCCTAGCGGCCATTGCAGAAACTTAAAAATATTTTCCAGGTTTTTCTCGTGGCCGTTTTAGTAATAAATTTTTTTACCGCAAGCCTCTACGATGGACAGGTTCCCAGATACATTACCTCGCATTCTTAGTTGCCCACCCTGTACAAATAATAAGATAATGAAAGATTCCCGGAAAAAATGTTGAAATCACTTTTTAATTTTTGCCGGCCAAACTATAAACAATATAATCCAAAATAAACGGCCCCAATGGGATTATAGTTGTGATCGTACAGTTCAAATCAGTTAAAAATGTGATCTGTGGACCAACGCAACCCCACCTCTTTAAACATGGTTTCTTTGCGATAACTGAAAAACTACTTGGCCGATTTGGACCATATTTTTTACCAGTCGATGTGTCTAATGTCCCCTTTAATGGGTGGCTGTTGAGTTGAGCGGCAAATTTAAATACATATACTTATGTGTTTTTTCCGCTACTAGCCAATGGTGACTGAAAAACGTGTACGACGCTTAGTTGCTAGGTGACCGATGCGCGCTAGTGCTGCAGCTTACAATGCGGATCGAGAGTATTTTTTTAATTGAATTGTTTAAATGAGAATACCGTGCAAATATTTAATTACATTTATTTGACGGGTGCAGATTAATTACTTTATTATTTAACTGCACTATATATTTTGACTTATTTATTGGATTAGACTGATGTTTTTTTTTCTGTGGGCATAAGGATTATTGCATTGTATGTTAACTTTTAAGAAACAACTCGGCGTATGTAGGCATCTATACAAAATTAAAGCAAACAAAATTTCCTGTAAAATAATCATTATGCTCATCATAAAATCCAATTTACTAGTGCATTTTATAAAATATGTTGTCTACTTTAATTTGATTGTAGAAGATGATCTAAAAAGGATGCATAATAACAAATTTAATTTACATTTTTATAATTGGTTCAATTAAATCGTAATTACTGTCTATTCAATAGATGGCAACTAAACAGGACAATACCAATGTAAATAACAATAGGTACTGAATCCTTGCTTATATCATGTCCACATTTTATACAGCCAATAAGAAAGAAAATTAAATGTGACAACCGCGCAAATATTTTAAACCGAAATTCTATAATGAATTCTGTAAATTTTCAATACGCGGCAATATTTAAAGAGATAGTTAGTTCTGGCGACCTCTACACAAGAGCCCGCTTTTGGAATCCTAGCGGACGAGTTCTTATAACCAACACGCGTTTATACCATTGCGCTATTTCTCTTACTATGGGTACTCTTTGGTTAAACCATACCTACCTTTTTATTTAATTCAAGAAAAATATTAACACGGTCTGAAAATTTGCTTTGTGAACTTTACTAATCTCAACGTACCAGTATGGGCAATGCCTTTCCAGTTACGAGTATCTAGTTCAATTCTTTGAGGTGTTTGTTCTCTCTTATAACTGATGGCGTTGCAATATTTGGAAGATATTCATACAAAAACCCAATTACCCAGCGAAACCCACAAAAACCTCAAATAACCAAGTGTCCATGGGTTTTGATACAAGCCAACCCTGGTGCGGAACTTTGAAGTTTGAATATTACGCTCACAGGACCAATAGTTCCGTTTTTATTTGATTCATCCTATAGGAATTTCTTAATTAGGCCTGAAAAGGGTAAACTACAGATTAAACCATAAAATGCTGTACATTATTGAATTCAGAATAAAAAGGGCTTGAAGAATATGATATCAGAATATCAGGACAGTATTTAAAAAAATGAAGTTGATGGCTTCGCAAAGACGAAACGTCAGATTCACAACACCACTTTAAAGAGCATTAGTTGCTGCAAAGAATAAAATCCCTTAAATTTTTTTTGGTTTTTGAAATATTTTGAAAAAAAATTGATTTTTCAGTCTTGCCCAGACTAGGCATGGGAATTTTTTTCGATATATCGATAGGTATCGATAGTTATCGATATATCGACTAACAATAGGTAGAGCTAAAAAAATCGATATATCGATAACTATCGATATATCGATACTTATCGATAAGTATCGATATATCGATACCTATCGATATGTCGATAACTATCGATATGTCGATAACTATCGATATATCGATATGTCGATAACTATTGATATATCGATATGTCGATATATATCGATATGTCGATAACTATTGATATATCGATATGTCGATAACTATCGATATATCGATATGTCGATAACTATTGATTTATCGATATGTCGATAACTATTGATATATCGATATGTCGATAACTATTGGTACGATAAAATTATGTTATTGTTGAGATTTCAACGAGCGCTACTATTTTTATTAATAAAATCCATTTTCGGGTTTACTCTCGTGTAAATTTACTATTTTTAGTTGCTCGACGTTTCGGAAACTTAACTTTGCTCCCTTTCTCAAGAGAAGCGCTACGTCACATCATCATCCATGCCAAATAAACGCAGTAATAAAATCTTTAGAAAATAGATCTTTTCGTCTTACTGACGATTGCTCAAAAAAAGAAGCACTTCAAAAACTTGAACAAAATGTTGCATCAAAATGGCTACTCTTTAGATAAAATAAAGAAGACAATCAAAGGGTGTAATCACAGATTAAAATACTCCAGATATATCACGCCATGTAAAAATATGCTGCGCGAAATTTGGATTTCACCGCCAAGTGTGTTAAATCCAAATTAACTTTCTAGTACAGTTTCAAACCCAAACATTAAAATTAAAAGTTCATTCTTAGTTAGAAAGATTTCTGCAACGTTCCTATAGCAGAAGAGAGAAAAAAAATCTTTTATTTATATAACATAGGTAATACCTAAAGGTATAGTGTTACACCGTCTGCGA